GGGGGGGGGGGGGCGACACGGGATGGGACGGGACACAAAAACCAGCCCCACAGAAGGCCATAATAAATAAATAAATGTCATCTGGCAGGAACACCACTCCAGCAGTGTAAACGTCTGCAAAAGAGAGCCTAGCTTACTTCTACCTGAGAATGCCTATCCTGACACCTGAAAAGGCACTATAAACAGATTGTCTCCCTTCCTGGGCTCCTTATCTGCAAATTTTGAATAAAGAGTTTCTTACTGGGAACCATAATGGACAAGGAGACACAGAGAGACTTTGTTGTAACAGCCAACCCCCACAAATAAAACTTCCCAACATCAGCATGCAGAGAAAGATCTATTGTGCCTAGCATGACATTCAGCCATACCTTCACCACTCACCAATTTCAAGTTCACTTACCATAAACAAGGAAAGGAGGAGGAAGAAAGGAAGGGCAGGCAGGCAAGTCAGTCTATATTTTACGTTGTCTCAGCCAACTCCAAGCACCTAACACATGCTTGCAGGCTGGCCAGAGTCCTGGGGCAAGCCCTCAACACCCTGAGGCCTATCTGCCTGCTGCCAGGAGCCATCACCATCATGTTCTTCAAAGTGCTTTCCCTTGTTTCAGTGCCCTTTCTTCCTACCTTCATAACTGTCTTGCTTTTGCTGTGGTTGTGCAGAAAGGAGATTGGAGGGGCAAATCTGCAGATGGGTGGGAAAACAAACCAAACTCATGACTTTCCTGAACTGCTCATCTTCTGAATCCTAGCTAGAACAAACTCCATACTCTGCTCTTGGTTCAATCTAAAAACCTCAAAGTAACAGCCCATAGCTTAGTCTGTGACTCGAGGCAAAGGTCCTTAAACAATAAACACTACAGCTTCACCTGAGAGAAGAGAGCCAGAGGAGAATGTATCAGAGCCAACCACCTACTTTCACAAAGACCTGTGACATAAACCCAGCCTCCATCCTGCAGAAAAGGCACCAAGAAACCCAGTACTAGGACCTGAGCTGCAGGCTGCACTAATGCGGATGACATCACAAGCAGCAGCCTCCAAGTGTTCTGGAGAGATGCAATCCGCCCACCTAGAAACCAGTTCTATCAGTGAGTTCAGGCCCACTCTGCACTTGGGGACATCTCTGTCCCTGCAGAATGTCCCAGGAGTGTCCACGTCTGCAGAAAGTGGCCAGAGCAGGCAGGCGCCTGGACTCCCATGCCAGCTCTGACCTGGTACATATAAGTCTGAAGCCCTCCAGGTCCCAAGTGTCCTCATTTGGAAACTCGAATAATACAACAGGGTAATAAGCATGAAGGTCCTTCCAAAATAAAAATACTGTGGTAATGCTATGACCACAAACAGCACATATCAGAGAGCAGGGTCTAATCCCAGTCAGTCAGCATTAATCTTGTTTCACCTCAACAGTGATAGTCAGTGGGCGTCAAGCACTCCTGACAGGATTCTCTAGAGGAACCCACTTACGTGGGGCTCTTCCTGAGCCCATACCACAGCCTTGTCACCAAAACACATCAGACAAACCCAAACTGAGACACAGGACACGAAATACCTGACCATTACTCTTCCAAAGCATCATCTTCATGAAAAACAAGGAAGGCCTGAAATTGTTTTAGATCAGAGGAGACCAAGGGGCATGAGGACTAAATGCAATGTGGTCCCTGGATGGGATCCTGGAACAGAAAGAGGACATGGTGGGGAAACTGATGCAATCCCAACCACTCTGCAGTTTAGTTAACAGTGGTGCCCATGTCAATTTCTTTTTTTTTTCTTCATCCTCACTCAAGGATCTTTTTTCTATTGATTTTTAGAGAGAGTGGAGGGGGAGAGAGAGAATGAGCGACAGAGGGGAGAGAGAGAGAGAAAAAAAGAGAGATCGATGTGAGACACATTGATTGGTTGCCTCCCGCAGTGCCTGACCACGGCAGGGAATGAACCTGCAACCCAGGTACGTGTCCTTGACCAGTGATCGAACTTGTGACCCTTCGGTGCACAGGCTGACGCTGTACCACTGAGCCACACGAGCCAGGGCCAATTTCTTGGTTTGACAGATGTGGAGTGCTTGTGTAGATTTAACATGAGGGAAAGTGAGGTGATGGGTATTATGGGAACTCTGTGCTGTCTTTACAACTTTCCTATATATGTAAAATTATTCCAAAATCAAGTTTATTGTAAAAGTAAGTTAGTTTGGAGGCTATTTTGAGAGCTTCAAGCAAATTTAAAGGATCTGAAAACATCCTGTGTCATTAAAACCTGACTCAGAGTCACTGCTCAACACTAATTTGAAAAACGTAGGGCCACTGAAGGAAAGTAGAACATTTGAAAATAAGGAAAGAGCTTGGCCAGTGGGAAGAGCTTAGCAGTTGAGCATCGACCGATGATCTAGGAGATCTCAGTTTGATTCCCAGTCAGGGCACATGCCCAGGTTGTGGGCTCAATCCCCAGTAGAGGGCGTGCAGGAGGAAGCCAATCAATGACTCATCCATCATTGATGTTTCTCTCTCTCTCCCTCTCCCTTCCTCTCTCTGAAATCAGTAAAGACATTTAAAAAAAGAGGGTGGGGAGAAAACTGAATACAGAAAAAATTTAGTATAAATTTCCCAATCCCACCAACTCCTTCAGCTCGCATTCTCCAAAAGGCCTCCGTGTTTGAAGCACAGCAGGTCTCCCTGTGCGAGCAGTAGCCAAGCACAGCCTGCCTCATCGTCCCAGCTCGCCGAACTGCCTCCCTCCCTCTTGCACTTCTGCTACACTTGGCCACTTGCTTGCTTCCTTACCCTCTGGGTGCCCCAGCCTTCTGGGCCCCTGTGACAGGTGCACTCTGGGTCTAGATTCTTCTGGCTCCATTCGAGAGCAGCCCCACAAAGGCTGGCCAACCCTCCTTCCACCACTTGTAATGGCCATGCTGTTGACTGCTTCCCTTCAGCCCCTGGAGCAGGGGAGTGGTTGGTGGGACTCAGAGAGGAGTGGGAGCACATGCAAGCTGTCCCCCACCCTCTAAGCTACAGATTCAGTCCTTTTCACCCAAGGATTCCTCAGGCTAGGAACATGGAGCTCTGTTCTGTTGATGCCTCTTCCCTAACCCACCACCAGCCCATCCTCACCCCCTTCCACCCCATGGACACAACGCTCAGTGACAACAGCTTCAGGAATAGAAAGTTATCTAAAATTTAAAAGAAAAAACAAAACAAAAGGAAAGAGAGGGCATTTAGTTTTTTTTTAAAGGAAGGAATGAGAATAAAATGCATTCACATATAAATTCTGTATTTAGATGCACATTTTTAATTTTAAAACTGGATATATGAAAAGAACCAACTATGTACTTACAATCAATAGAAGACTATAATTTTGACCAGTGAAAAAAACCCATGAAAGAAAATGCCAAATTGCAGGAAGGAAAAATGAGTTAACAATAGAAAAAAGAGTAGTAAATGCTAAGCTTTTGAGATTGTGCGCTGACAGTTTATTCTCTCAGCCTCCTGTCCAGTCTGTCACAGGCCACTGGGAAAGAAAAATGCAGAATGGCTAAGTGCTCAATCTCAAGGAAGAAGGAAGCTATTTAATAATGACAATACCTCAGAAATGAGCAGTTATCAAGCTTCTTAACTTCCTAAAGACATTAGCTTGCTAACTTACCTGCTTCCCCAGGGTCTGGCTGCTGTGGCTTTCCAGAGCCTAAGAACATGACTGAGCAGAGCCAATATTTGGGCAGTTTTGCCAAAAACTGGTCTGTTTCCATCATTTCCCAAAGGAGAAGTCCATGCAGCATTGTTTGACAGCCAGTGCGGGCACACACTGGGTCTAACATTCCCATTCTACTCCTGCTCTCCTCCTAGGCTGGTGGTGCCCTGGCTCACCATGCTCACTCACTCACTGTGTATCCGTCCACAGGTGCATGGTGGGAAACCAGGAGAAAAGTTGGCTATCCAGAGAAAGAGTCCTGAGGTTCCCCAGGACCACCAGTTGCACAACCATTTCAGCAGAGTGGAGCTTCTGGCACTTGGGGGTTTTGACACCTGGGGGCATAGCCAAGGTGCTGTATGTGACTGCACCCACCCATGGAGCACATGCCCCTCTTGGGACAGGACACTTAGAAATTAAAGCAAAGTTGAGGCCTGGGAAAAGCCCTCTCTGACTCTGCCCAAAGTGGCAAAGAGAGGTGTGTTGAAGGGACCCAACATCAGGGGGCATTTCCCCCAACGTCCCTCTGTCACAAGGGAAAAGCAGCTTGGCTTCTAGTCACAGGGACTGCTAGGGTCATACCGATCCTCAGAGATCTTTAAGAAATAGTCCTCCCAATGGGAAAACAATTGCCTCCTATGCAGGGTCCCCATCACCAACACCGGCTCCTCTACAGGTTAGGTACTCAGGGCCCAGCTATGTGAGGACAGTGGTCGAAGGCAGGCCTCACCGACCATGGCAGCAGTGCCCAGAATACTGTATGCTTGACACTAACAATTGGCAAAACCAGATTTAACTCAACATTTGATTGCCAAGACTTCACAGGAAGGGCTGCAGTATAAAAAGGAACCAATGGCATTGAAATATAAGCTTTCAAGGGTCAGATAACGCACATACAGAAAAAAGACCTATCCCCCTTTAAGTTATATTCCCTTAGGCAATGAAAATGTTGAAAAGGGGTCCATGTTTTTAACCCTCTGATTTCTTCCTACATTGGAATGCTTTCATACTGGGCATTAAACTGGCAACAAACAGTTTAAGATGAGACCCTGTACTCCTCAAACATATACAGCTCTGAAAGCAGGGGAGTCAGAATGTACATGCACGATACAGACAGGGTTTTGTTAATAAACAGCAAAAATGGTAAGGTAGGCAGGCATGTGACAAATACACCACAGGAAGCCCAGGTATGAGAATCAAGAGGAGAAAGCATGAAAAAGAATAACAGAAGCCATCTAGAGACTCAAAGTTTAGAAACATAAGAACCCAACAAGGTACAGAACCTGTTTTAAAGAAACAGAACACAATATATAATAAAACCTGGTGCAGACAAGGGGGTAGGGGTCATGACAAAGCTGACTGGTCCAAAAAGGTTTCACAGCCACCTTGGGGGTGGGGGAGTTCCCACTAATGGGAATTTCTTCAGGCAGAGAGGAAGGGCCTGAAGAGAACCTGGCAGCCCAGAACATCCTGGACACTGTCTTGAGCTGTGCAGGCTAGGAACAGAGGCCACATGGCAGGGGTGTCTGAGAAGGGACCCTCACCAAGGAGAAGCAAAGTGACAAGCCAGGAGAGGTAGGGGGAAGTCACAGGAGCACTGGAACCTGGGGACCCGCCAGCAAGTCCCAAACCTAACCCTACTTTCTCCCTCACCAGGAAAGGGGGAACTAGGAAGAGCATGTGTCAATGTTTTCAGCCCCACCAGGCCAGAGTGTGTGATGCCCATGCAGTGTGGCGAACCCCCTCCAGATATAACTAGTTCCTTACTGCAGGAGAGTACCCACAGCCATTCTACAACCCAGCACACACAGCACTTCAGATGGGATTGAAGAACAAGGTCTGCAAGATACAACCTTCTGCTAAGTGGGGCAGAGTTCCCAGGTCCACTGCAGGCACTGTCCTCCCAATCTACCAGAAACAGGGAGGGAGAACAAAAATGTTAACTCAGAGCCCCTTTTCCTACAGGTTTT